GTATGTATGTGTATAGTTGTGTGTATGCATATGCATACGGGTATATATGTATAGATGTATGTATTTATAACTCAATAAATAATAATAATAAAGAGCCTTAAACAGAACAACATGTGTGGAAGCATCGGTGTGTGTATATATGAATGCTACACAGTATTCATCTATAGACATCCATATATGATGAAACACATGTGAAGAACCTCTCACACACTCACAGCTCCCTGACAAGAGGGGAGCCAGCTTAGCTTAGCTGCCAACACCCACACATGGTGTCAGCAAGGCGGACAGCCCGCCTGCTTTCATACCTCTCACTGTATTTCCCACTTCTATACTTCCCTTCACCTATGCCTCTCCTTCCTCTTTACTCCTTTGCCTCAGTTATTTTCTTCTTTCTCGTATCTTCTAAAGTAATAGCAGAAACGTGAGTTTATGTGTATGCACATTTGTCCCGCCATCCATAGTAATAGGTACTCTCATTTTTGGAGTGAAGATTGCCTAGGCCAATTATAGGCCTAGACCTCCAACCCACAACAGTAGTCTAACTCCCAGGTACCTATTTTTACTACTAGGTGAACAGCGGCATCAGGTAAAAGGAAAATTACACAATCGTCTCTGTTACGCGGAGCATTGGTGGAGAGTCTTATTAAACAGAATCTATTAATCCGGTAAAATGCAACGGATTACTTAAAATAATAGTTACATTGACGTCTTGTACGCATCGGCCCCGATAGATTAGGTGAGTTGTGTGAGTCCGTTTGTTTTTTGGTTAGGCAAAACGGTTCCATTTTTTACGGAGTGGTAAATTAAGAGAAGAGGGTGCCTTGTGATGTTGGCAATAAGATGCTTATCTTAACATACTAAGAAGGTTAGGTGAGGTCGGTGTTTTCTATGAAGCTTTTCAAGGTAAACTAAAATATTCACACTCAATTAGTATGTCACATATGCACTTATTAAATAAGCCAATATTGACTTTAAGCAAGTGCGAGAACGGGTTACAACGAGTGTGGTCGAGGGTGTGGTCAATTCTTCCTGGTGTGGCCGGTATGACCTCCACTGCATTTCCCAACATCACTCCAAATATTTGTTCTATAATTAACAATTGCGTCTCTTTCAAATTTGTTTAATATCTGATAATTACATTGTTGAATTAACAAAAATGTAAATATTTCTAGACAAAATAGATTCATGTGTATTACGTAGGAAATATTCACACGCGCAATGCCTGTTAGTGCCTTCCACAAATTTATCATTTAATCTCCAAAATCTGTATGGCAATCCATTGTATAAGAGAGAGACAGACAGACAGACAGAGAGATAGACAGAGAGAGAGAGAGAGAGAGAGAGAGAGAGAGAGAGAGAGAGAGAGAGAGAGAGAGAGAGAGAGAGAGAGAGACAGACAGACAGACAGACAGAGGGAGAGACAGACAGAGAGACAGACAGACATAGAGACAGACAGAGAGAGAGAGAGAGAGAGAGACAGACAGAGAGAGGGAGAGAGACAGACAGAGAGAGGGAGAGAGACAGACAGAGAGAGAGAGCCAGCCAGCCCCGATGTGTACAGATTCAACCCGGGGCGCCAGCATCACAACAATAGACCCCATTAACAGGACTTCCCAGACCCAGCCAGCTATAGGTTCTCGCTTCTTAATAAGAGAAAGGAGAGGATGTAAATATATGGTGTTCACAGATCAAGAGAACCGGTCTGTAAGGCGGGAAGACTAGTAATGAAGGTGGTTGACGACCAAGGGAGGATTGGTGTGTGGCGGGGGGGGCGCGAGCGTCTAGCCTCGCCCAACTGGACTAAAGGTAATAGGCTATAAACGAGTTTGATTATATTTTTTTGGTATTTATATTATCAATAATCTTCAAAACTTTGTTATTATAAGCACGTTTTGCAATTTATTTAATGGCTATAATATAGAGGACGGAGACGGATTTTTAAAAGCCTTTGAGCATAATAAAGTTTCTGGCATCCATGTTGAAGGTCAGATAACTTTTTTTTTTTACTAGGGTCAATACTCGGCTTTAACAGAACCTAGGCAGTTACCATCACACTCTACACACCAACACAACTACTTTGTCTTACTTCCAAACTTGTAGCTGAACGGTGAAACAATTACAGTGACACATGCTTGATTACGTTAATAATGAATTAGTTCTCAACAAATATAAATTGTTTGCGTTGAAGATCATTGAGGTCCAGTTCCTGATCTCATTAACGAGACTAACCTTGCTGCTCCGCACTCACAAGACAGGTTTCTGGGTATATAAAACTACACTAAAATATGCACAGGCAACTAAATCCTGAAATTGAAGTCTCGAAGTTGAATAATGAAATGCTTAACCTAAAATAGATTGTTCAATACCGAAAAATAAATCCATGATCTCTAAAGCGTGGACAACATAGCCATAACCAGGCGTCAACAGCCCTTTAACTTGAAACTGGACTGTTTTAAAAACTTGCATTTGGAACACTGTTGTGATATAAACTGGGAGTGAAAGTTGTTTTATTAAAACAGTTTTACTCCAAAAATCTGGTTTTCTCCCTTAGATACAAATTATATATTCAGTAACTTCACTTTTATAGTCCAAGTTAATTTTAGTTGTGATACACAGGTGTGAGATTTAGTTGTAAATAATTGTTTTAAACATATCAGTAGTTAGTCGCTGTTAAAAGGTAATTCTTCTACAGTCACTGAAAAGGTTGCATGTGCAACTTGCTCTGGAGAAAAATTTGGTTTGTTTGTGCTGAATTAGGATTGACGACAGGTAAGGGAACGGGTTACATTATTCGGCGACGTTATAAGCCAGTGTAACTGTACAGAACTTCCAGGTGATATAAGGTCAGACACTTAGACCTAAGATAGTCCTGTGAGAACAAAGTTTTATATATATATATATAATATATATATATATATATATATATATATATATATATATATATATATATATATATATATATATATATATATATATATATATATATATATATATATATATATATATATATATATATATATATATATATATATATATATATATATATATATATATATATATATATATATATATATATATATATATATATATATATATATATATATATATATATATATATATATATATATATATATATATATATATATATATATATATATATATATATATATATATATATATATATATATATATATATATATATATATATATATATATATATATATATATATATATATATATATATATATATATATATATATATATATATATATATATATATATATATATATATATATATATATATATATATATATATATATATATATATATATATATATATATATATATATATATATATATATATATATATATGTCGTACCTAGTAGCCAGAACGCACTCCTCAGCCTACTATGCAAGGCCCGATTTGCCTAATAAGCCAAGTTTTCATGAATTGTTTTTAACTACCTAACCTACCTAACCAAACCTAACCTAACGTTTTCGGCTACTTAACCTAACCTAACCTATGAAGATAGGTTAGGTTAGGTAGGGTTGGTTAGGTTCGGTCATATATCTACGTTAATTTTAACTCCAATAAAAAAAAATTGACCTCATACATAATGAAATGAGTAGCTTTATCATTTCATAAGAAAAAAATTTGTGAAAATATATTAATTCAGGAAAACTTGGCTTATTAGGCAAATCGGGCCATGCATAGTAGGCTGAGAAGTGCGTTCTGGCTACTAGGTACGACATATATATATATATATATATATATATATATATATATATATATATATATATATATATATATATATATATATATATATATATGTCGTACCTAGTAGCCAGAACGCACTTCTCAGCCTACTATGCAAGGCCCAAATTGCCTAATAAGCCAAGTTTTCCTGAATTAATATATTTTCTCTATTTTTTTTCTTATGAAATGATAAAGCTACCCATTTCATTATGTATGAGGTCAATTTTTTTTATTGCAGTTAAAATTAACGTAGATACATGACCGAACCTAACCAACCCTACCTAACCTAACCTATCATCATAGGTTAGGTTAGGTAGCCGAAAATGTTAGGTTAGGTTAGGTAGTCGAAAAAGCATTAGTTCATGAAAACATGGCTTATTAGGCAAATCGGGCCTTGCATAGTAGGCCGAGAAGTGCGTTCTGGCTACTAGGTACGACATATATATATATATATATATATATATATATATATATATATATATATATATATATATATATATAAACTGAAAACTCACACCCCAGAAGTGACTCGAACCTATACTGCCAGAAGCAATGCATCTGATGTACAGGATCCCTTAACCACTCGACCAACACGACCGGACAAAAGAGGACGGTAGCCGAGGCTAATTCCCCATCCCCCCCGCCGGCACTCTGATGGTAATCATGAGCATGGTATTTTATCAAATCACCTCATTCTTTGGGGCACACGTGAGGAACACAAATGCCAATAAGCCTGAACGGTCTCCAGGCATATATGCCACTGTGAGTTTTCAGTTGCATATATGCCTGGGGACCAAAAATTGCCGTACTAGAAAATGGTAGCGGCTCGTGAAATTGACATAATGTCTCATTTTCTTTTTTGGGTCCTCTGGTAGGATAGGATAAGGGCACTTTAGTATGATAGTTTCTTGACGTTGAGAAATCTTAGGAGGACGGGGCGAGTAATGAGCCTTCATCTGCTGCCAGCCCCAAACCCCACCCCCGTAGAGGAAGCTAAAACATGTTTGGGGGAACCTGTTTCAACATGGCGTGTTAGTGGGCGCCACCACCCTCCCTGGCGCCACCCCCTTCCAGCCGCTACCCCTCCCAGGAGCCACCCCCTACCAGGGGCCACCTCCTCCCAGGCGCCACCCCCTTCCAGCCGCTACCCCTCCCAGGAGCCACCCCCTTCCAGCCGCTACCCCTCCCAGGCGCCACCCCCTTCGCCAGGCACCCACACTGGTGGTGGTCACTCAGTCTCCAGAACTTGTGTTGAGGCAACGGACCGTTTAATATACATTCCTCTTACCTCAGGTGCAATTTTATACTCATATTGTTTAAGCAATATATTTATGTTGCTGAGCCAGTCGACGGAACTTGAAGGACTAGCGTTTGTAACATTTGGTTTAATAAACTTTTACCGTGTTTTTTGATGAGGATTGTCAGTGATTATGGCTCTAAGTGTATTAAACTTACGACTGCGACTCTTAAAAGTTGGGATAAGGTGAAGTTTCAGGTGAAAACTATAATTACGGGTATTAGTTGGTGGTGATACTACAAGCCTCGTCAAGGAACAGCTCAGTGATCCCTCACACTTTCTAAACTTGAAGCTTGGAGTTGTCCAGCTTGTCTCTGTACTCTGTCACATGTACTAAGTTGAATCTTTTTGTAACAAGGACACATAGAGGTATTATTTTGTACTGGTGGGTAGTGACTTGTGCACTGGTGGGTAGTGATGAGTTGTGCACTAGTGGGTAGTGACGACTTGTGCACTGGTGGGTAGTGATGACTTGTGCACTGGTGGGTAGTGATGAGTTGTGCACTAGTGGGTAGTGACGACTTGTGCACTGGTGGGTAGTGACGACTTGTGCACTGGTGGGTAGTGACGACTTGTGTACTGGTGGATAGTGACGACTTGTGCACTGGTGGGTAGTGATGAGTTGTGCACTGGTGGGTAGTGATGAGTTGTGCACTAGTGGGTAGTGACGACTTGTGCACTGGTGGATAGTGACGACTTGTGCACTGGTGGATAGTGACGACTTGTGCACTGGTGGGTACCGACGACTTGTGCACTGGTGGGTAGTGACGACTTGTGCACTGGTGGATAGTGACGACTTGTGCACTGGTGGGTAGTGACTTGAGCACTGGTGGGTAGTGACTTGTGCACTGGTGGGTAGTGACTTGTGCACTGGTGGGTAGTGACGACTTGTGCACTGGTGGGTAGTGACGACTTGTGCACTGGTGGGTAGTGACGACTTGTGCACTGGTGGGTAGTGACGACTTGTGCACTGGTGGGTAGTGACGACTTGTGCACTGGTGGGTAGTGACGACTTGTGCACTGGTGGGTAGTGACGACTTGTGCACTGGTGGGTAGTGACGACTTGTGCACTGGTGGGTAGTGACGACTTGTGCACTGGTGGGTAGTGACGACTTGTGCACTGGTGGGTAGTGACGACTTGTGCACTGGTGGGTAGTGACGACTTGTGCACTGGTGGGTAGTGACGACTTGTGCACTGGTGGGTAGTGACGACTTGTGCACTGGTGGGTAGTGACGACTTGTGCACTGGTGGGTAGTGACGACTTGTGCACTGGTGGGTAGTGACGACTTGTGCACTGGTGGGTAGTGACGACTTGTGCACTGGTGGGTAGTGACGACTTGTGCACTGGTGAGTAGTGACGACTTGTGCACTGGTGGGTAGTGACGACTTGTGCACTGGTGGTCTAATAGTGTAATAAGAAAGCAATTTATTTTCACTTAAGTAATAAGTCAGTAAAATACGTAATTACCTTACAAATAAGGAAATACTCGTAATATTAGTGGTCAACAAGTGCATGGAATACATTAAAAGAAAAAGCCAGAACCATCCACAACTTCAAGGCCAGACTCAAGTGTAAGTTGTGGCAGGATCACAGACGGGCCAGACAAAGGTAGACCTTAGCGTGGTGAGGCTCAGGTAAGGTGTGTTAATGGAGACGGAAGGCTTACTTAACTAAACCTTGAGGTAGCTAGTTTTTATACTGTCTCATATACCCTATGAGATACCCTAGAGATATATAGATATATCTTTATACCCTAGAGTACCGCATCATAGAGTCGTATCAGAACAACTCCCACAACTTTGATTATCTTAGGTAAAGTAGAATTTAGATTCGTAAAAACAGTTTGACGCTATTTTTAGATGAAGTTACAATATGCGCCGCTAACGCTCAGGGAGTCACGTACGCCAGGCGGGAGCCCCAGACCAACGCCAGACGCTTCCCGTTATTCTTTACTCCGCTCCGATATTATATTTTGTTCAGGATATACTTGCCTTTTGTGTCTTGCTTTACTACGGAGATGATATATAGGGAGTGAGGGAAGATGTGGGAGCGAGGCGGCCCCAGCCACACAACCAAGCGCCCGGGGGCTGTGGTGGACAGGTTTACAGGGACACGCTTCACCCACACAAGGTCACCACACCACCACAATTTTTAAACTATTTAGAACCGCTGTTGTTGAGCCCGCTGGTTTGCTGGTTATATTATGCATACTATCATTTAAAGACTGATAATAACATCCAGTAGGTCTAAAAAGACTTGTATACCAATGGGGTATACCAGGCTGCTCTCTGGTCTACCCCAGTCTCCTCCTCTGTTCCACCCTTTCCATACATCTTTCTCTCTCTTCAAACATCCTGTTGTTATAGATTCAGCTACTCGGAACAAGTTCCAAGTAGCACGGGCTATGGTGAGCCCGTAGCGGACTTACCTGGCACTGGAGCAGTGCCCCTGCTGTCAAACATCCGACGAATGAATGACGAAGATTAAGCCACTCAAAAGGTGGCACGGGCATGAATAGCCCGTAAGTGTAGGCATTTCTGAGCCATTACCATTATCAATAGATGATACTGGAGATCTTTGTAGGTGCGACTGCACCCTGCGTGACGGGAGATGTCTCCCGTGTCAAACATCCGATTGATGAAGATTAAGCCACCCAAGAGGTGGCACGGGCATGAATAGCCCGTAAGTGGTGGCCCTTTTGAGCCATTACCAGTATCAAAAGATGATACTGGAGATCTGTGGAGGCGCGACTGCACCCTGCGTGACGGGAGATGTCTCCCGGACCAAATGGTGGTCAAACATCCTTCTCGATGCTCTTGATATGTGTCACGGGCTATTCATGCCCGTGCCACCTCTTAGGGGCTTAATCTTTATCAATCAATCAATCATCTTGCTATCTCAGAAAATGTATTACTGAATTTACAGTCATCGTTTTTAATTGAAGAAAAAATGTAGCCACTCGGGAACCGGTCAGCCGAGCGGACAGCACGCTGGACTTGTGATCTTGTGGTCCTGGGTTCGATCCCAGGCGCCGGCGAGAAACAATGGGCAGAGTTTCTTTCACCCTATGCCCCTGTTACCTAGCAGTAAAATAGGTACCTGGGTGTTAGTCAGCTGTCATGGGCTGCTTCCTGGGGGTGGAGGCCTGGTCGAGGACCGGGCCGCGGGGACACTAAAAGCCCCGAAATCATCTCAAGATAACCTCAAGATAACTCAGTCAGCTACCTTTAACCGATTATGTGCGGGGATAAATGGGGGGGAGGCGGAAACACTGTTGAGCCCGACCAGTGGAAAGAACCCCCCAACAACCTATGTCCTTCTCGTACCCCAGAACATTCACCCTGCAAAGTTGGATTGGGTCTAGCTCTAAACATCTGACCTCTTACTCTGGACAGACAGAAAGACAGGCTCTTATAGTATAGATAAAGATAGTTTAATTAAACGAAGCTATAATCATATAGAGACTAAAATGGAGGTTTGAGTTCGCGAATTCTGTCAGCCAGACATTTCCTTATTCCGTTTGGCTCAACGGAATAAGGAATTACACAAAGGTCGTCCTACCAGCACATACATCTGGCGAACATGAACAAAAAATATGGCTATCAGGACAGTGTTGTGTAAAGAGAGAACTGTTGGTGAAGGTTGATTGGTTTTACGTAACTACTGGCGAAGGTCTTCAAGTTACCAATATGGGTAAAGGGGGCAATGCTTGGTACACAGTGGGTGTGTGGTACACATAGTGTGTGGTACACATAGTGGGTGTGTGGTACACATAGTGGGTGTGAGGTACACAGTGGGTGTGTGGTACACAGTGGGTGTGTGGTACACATAGTGTGTGGTACACATAGTGGGTGTGTGGTGCACTTAGTGGGTGTGTGGTATACACTGGGTGTGTGGTACACATAGTGGGTGTGTGGTACACAGTGGGTGTGTGGTATACATAGTGGGTGTGTGGTACACATAGTGTGTGGTACACATAGTGGGTGTGAGGTACACAGTGGGTGTGTGGTACACATAGTGGGTGTGTGGTACACATAGTGGGTGTGTGGTACACATAGTGGGTGTGTGGTACACATAGTGGGTGTGTGGTACACATAGTGGGTGTGTGGTACACATAGTGGGTGTGTGGTACACATAGTGGGTGTGTGGTACACATAGTGGGTGTGTGGTACACATAGTGGGTGTGTGGTACACATAGTGGGTGTGAGGTACACATAGTGGGTGTGTGGTACACATAGATGGTGCGACATGTGGTACACATAGAGGGTGTGTGGTACACAGTGGGTGTGTGGTACACATAGTGGGTGTGTGGTACACATAGTGGGTGTGTGGTACACATAGTGGGTGTGTGGTACACATAGTGGGTGTGTGGTATACATAGTGGGTGTGTGGTACACAGTGGGTGTGGTATACATAGTGGGTGTGTGGTATACATAGTGGGTGTGTGGTACACAGTGGGTGTGTGGTACACAGTGGGTGTGTGGTAAACATGGTGGGTGTGTGGTACACAGTGGGTGTGTGGTACACAGTGGGTGTGTGGTATACATAGTGGGTGTGTGGTATACATAGTGGGTGTGTGGTATACATAGTGGGTGTGTGGTATACATAGTGGGTGTGTGGTATACATAGTGGGTGTGTGGTACACAGTGGGTGTGTGGTACACATGGTGGGTGTGTGGTACACAGTGGGTGTGTGGTATACATAGTGGGTGTGTGGTATACATAGTGGGTGTGTGGTATACATAGTGGGTGTGTGGTACACAGTGGGTGTGTGGTACACAGTGGGTGTGTGGTACACATAGTGGGTGTGTGGTACACATAGTGGGTGTGTGGTACACATAGTGGGTGTGTGGTACACAGTGGGTGTGTGGTACACATGGTGGGTGTGTGGTACACAGTGGGTGTGTGGTATACATAGTGGGTGTGTGGTATACATAGTGGGTGTGTGGTACACAGTGGGTGTGTGGTACACATGGTGGGTGTGTGGTATACACA